AGTCCTGGTTGCTCTGCTTCTAATTTCCCTGCTATAGCCTGGGAAAGCAATAGAAGATGGCTCAAATGCTTGGGTCACTGTCACTTACAAGGGAGACCCGTATAGTGTTCTAGGCTCCTGGATTTGACTTGGCCCATCCACAGATGTTGCAGCTATTTTGGAAGTGAACCAGCAGATGGAAGACCTCTTTCTCTTTATGTCTCACCCTCTCTCTCTGTCTCTGTCCTTCAAATAAGTCAACAAATCTTTCAAAAAATAGAGCAACAATAAAGAGGGGGAAAAGTTGATTATGTTGATCAGTATATATTGTGTATTGTATTGAAATTCTATACTACATCCCATAAATACACAATTATTGTTAATTTTTTAATATTTTAAAAAGTAAATAAAAAAGTAAAACACTCAAGGGCTTCTACCTTTATGAACTGTTCAGTGGTACGTGGCATGTGGAAATACTCCTTCTAAAGTGAAGGACAAGTTGTTACATCTAGTTCCTTCAATAACTAAGAAAGAGGCATGGAGGCAACACATTCCTCATTTGAGTGTGTTACTGTGATCCACTGATGGATTGGTCTAAACAACTTGTAATTTTAGTGGGATCCAGAACAAGCAGAAGTTCTATAGCAAGCCCAGTCTGTCCTTCAAGCTGCTTTGCCACTTGGGCTATATGATCAATAGGTCCACTGGTGTTTGAAGTGTCAATGGCAGATACAGATTCTGTTTGGAACCTTTGGCAGGCCCCTATATGTGAAGTGATGCATAATCTTTTAGCAGTTTGGGGAAAAGCACTGCCATTATCTGAGCAAGAATACTCTCCTTTTCAGATACAGCTCTGGTGCTGTTCCTGAGTCTTAGTAGAAACTAAGGACTTCTTATGGGGCACCAAGTCATGTGATCTAAACTTCCCATCATAGACTTGGTTGTATCTAACCCACCAAAACATAAAGTTGGGTATGCACATCAATGCTCTATCATGTGGGGTATTTGTGATAATGCCTGATTAGACCCTGAAGGCCAAAGTAAATTACATGAAGAAGTGCTTCAAATGTCCATGGCCCCCACTCTTGCTATACTTTTTTCTCTAATTTTCTTGTTTTCCAACTTGTGAACAAAAATTGTTAGTCAGTCTCAGGTTTAGCATTGTGGCACAGTGGGAATCTTATGGTTCGAGTCCCAATCACTCCATTTCTGATCCAACTCCCTGCTAATGTGCTTGAGAAAGCAGCAGAAGATGGCCCAAGTACTTGGACCCCTGCCATCATGTGGCAGGCCCAAAAGGAGTTCCAGGCTCCTGGCATCTGCCTGGCCCAGCCACAGCCATTGGGCCCATTTGGGAATGAGCCAGCAGGTGGAAGAATGAAAGAGAACTACCCTTTTTCTCTCCCTGTCTCTCTCTCTCCCTCCTCTTTAACTCCACCTTTCAAATGAATAAATCTTAAAAGAAATTGTTGGAGGGGCTGGTGCTGTGGCACAGTAGGTTAATCCTCCAACTGCGGTGCCGGCATCCTATATGGGATTCTAGTCCCAGCTGCTCCTCTTTCCATCCAGCTCTCTGCTATGGCTTTGGGAAAGCAGTAGAAGATGGCCCAAGTGCTTGCACCCCTGCACCCACGTGGGAGACTCAGAAAAAGCTGCTGGCTCCTGGTTTCAGATCGGCACAGCTCTGGCCATTAGGGCCATTTGGGGAGTGAATCAGTGGACAGAAGACCTTTCTCTCTGTCTCGCCCTCTCACTGTCTGTAACTTTACCTCTCAAATAAATAAAATCTTTTAAAAAAACTGTTGGACTTTTAAGCTCCCGTAATCATGCATGTGAATTTCCAAAATAAATCTCCTCAAAAAAAGAGAACATACTGTTTCCAATTTCTATGAGGAGCACTAATATGGACATCTCACTTTTTAAATGTGCATGTATAATTACATACATGAAAATCTGAAAATTCATACAACAAAATTTTAAATATGATTTTTACCTAGTGCTAAGATTATGCTTGTGTTCCACATTCTTCACTCTGTTTAGCAATATGTTATGATTATCTCCAGCATTTGTTTGCCTAGCAAACAGAAATAAAAGTAAAATGTTATTGCAAGTAAAATTTTAAAATGTAAATTATATTTTATTCACTGAAAACAGAAAAATTAAAATACTTACACTCAGTTCAGAGCCTTGTGCAGAGAACTATAGACACTTTTAAAACAGAAATAATTAGTTATAGGTGAAAGTTGAAACAACATTATAAGTGAAAATTTGAGCACAGAGTCTAAGTTTTAAAAATGCTTTATGATTTTTTTCCTGCTGTTTTTATTCTAGAAGAATTTACTAGGGAAACAATTATGGATGTGACTGTAAATTTTAGTAAAATGTAGTCATCATACTAGCCTGAAATTAAAGGGAGAACTGAACACAAAGAAAATTTCTGAGAATGTAGGCATGAAAAATGAGTCACCCCATACACACAATAAAATGACTAAAGACCATTGTAAAAGATGTGAAAGAATAAATATGAAAATCCCTGAGGTTAATTTATTATTGAGTAAATATTCTGAAACATTGTAAATTTGTAATGCATCATTTGGTATCTTATATACAAGAAATATATATAAAAATTATAATATGAAATAATATATATCATACATTCCTGAAAAGGAACAGGCCAACACGTTAAAAGCAGCAATAAAAATAGCTACAAGTAGTTTTAAATTCCTTTCCTTATAATCAGAAATTGCAGCTATTTTATAACAAATTTTAGTATAATTTTTAAAGTGTGTAAAGATTAATATAATATATACTACATAGCAGCAATGAGATATTTAAATTTCTGTAAGAATGCTCATGAAACAACTTAATAGAAGCAGTGTTTTATGTATTGAAATATTCTTAGCAGTTTTCCTTTGAATGAGGAAAAATTAGAAACACATATAAATTCATCAAAATTGGAGGACAGAAGATGAAGCCTATGATAGTAGACTTAACAGCACAGACCAAAAGGTTGACAATTTTATACAATTTTAGAAGAATGACAGGTGATTTTTGTTTCCTTTATTTTATCTGCCCATGTTATTTAATTTCTTTTTAAAACGAACATATTATTTAAATAGCAAGCAAAACCTTTTTTTTAAATTTGGAAAGCAAAAAATGAGGTATAATTTTGTAGCATTATCTTGGCAAAAGAAAAAAATAAAGTTTATGATAACCAGGGAGGAACCTGCATAAGAAACCTGTAATGTGTTGTTGGAAATGCAAACTGATATATCAAAGCTACTTGATGGTACAGCTAAAGAACTTTAAAAGGCTTCTACTTTTCAATTACACATTTAGGTATTTATCTTTAGTAAATAATACTATAAAGTGCTTCTGAAAAATTACCACAGATTTGAATTTATCAGGTAAGTAGATCAGAAACCATTTTAAACTCCAAAGTGAATTAACACTTAAACAAAAATTCTGATCCTCCTACACAATGGCAGTGAATTATGGGAGAATATCAAATAGCAAAAGATGTTTTAGATGTATTTACAATATATTGAAAGGGAAATTTACAATAAACTAAATGTACTGAATTTACAATCAGTGCAGAATACATTCTTTATAATTTTGTGTTTAAAATTGTCATATAGGCAAAGCACGTAAGGCATAAATAATCTCTTTAAAGTGATCTTGTCGGGGACCCACCTTGTGGCGTAGTGGTTAAGCTGTTGTCAGCTACACCAGCAACCCACGTGGGTTGCTATCCAGCTCCCTGCTAATGCACCTGTGAAGGCAGCAGAAAGACGACCCAAGTACTTGGCTGCTGCCACACATATGGGAAACCTGGATGGAATTCCTAGCTCTTGGCTTCCATTTGACTCTGCCCTGGCTGTCATGGCCATATAGGGAATGAACCACCAGATGGAAGATCTCTCTCTCTCTCCCTCCCTGTAATTCTGCCTTTAAAATAAATGATTTTAAAATATGCTTTAAAGTACTTTTGTATATTTAATGTGAATGCCTTCTTTTAAAGCAATACATTTGTGAAATTAAATAACAAAAAACCCACAAACCTAATCAATTAATTGTAAGTTAAAAATACTAATATAAAAATGACCAGGGAAATACATATTCTCTTGTACTGTTGGCTGGCATGAACTTTATAGAAAATGCATGTGGAAACAAAAAGAAAGGCATACAAGGCAATGAAGGATATCTCTAGGTGTCAGCAAACATTCAGCTACAATTCTATTCCTCATAAATTTAATCTTACTAGGAGAAAGCCAGAACCATTGAAACTACATCAAGGGACTGGATTTTAGAAATTATAGCTCATTCATAAAATGATTCATAAAGTGGGACATTAAGAAAAAGTATTTTTTGGAAAGATGAGACCAACCTGATATGGAGAAAATATCCCCAAAAACATTTATTCTATATTAATCTGGGATTTATTATTTGTGCATATGTTGCAAGCGTTTCAAAGGCATTTTTTTGTTAAGGGAATGGATTAAGAATGATTGTTTACATATTTCCTTACTAATATTTATTTCAATGTCTTTTAAATGAGAACCTATTATTTGCGTGAAGATAAATATTTAAAATAAAAAAGTCCTATTACCCTGATCAAATAATAGAGGAGTTCAGAAGTGATTGTCATACACAGTCCAGATACTGTCTAGGTGTCCAGGTCCTCTCACAGTATGTGTGCACACTATGAGTGTAAACCATCACTCTCTCATTGAGTGTCCACTAACTATTAAGCAAACAAAAACCTTCCACATCCTTGAAAGTTTCAATTCCACTTTTAACAACGTTAGCTCAGGAAATAATCCTGAATGTAAGCAAAATGTATGTAGTATAATACTTCTGGCAGTTTTTTTTTGGGGGGGGTAGAAAACAATCCATATGTTCAACAAAGAGGAAATACTTAAAACAAAAAAAAGCATTTCTATATCCAAAAAAAAATTCAGATATGTACATATCTTTCTAACTAGTCCATCAATGCACAGGAACATTAAATAGCCATGGAAAATATTTTAGAAGAATATTTAATGACATGAAAGGAAGTTCAAGAATATCTATACATCTATATCTATATATTTATGTGTGAAAAAGCAGATATTGAAACAGTATATACATTAAATTCACATATATATCACATGAAAAAACAGGAAAGATACACATGAAAACGTTTCAGTAGGGTATAGGTAATAATTAGGATTGATTACTGGTGACATTACTTTTCTTCTGTTAACTTGTCTGCTTTGTGATATTTTCTTCCTGCAATAAAGCTGAATTATTTTTCTGACAACAAGAAAACGGATAGGAAGTGGGCACAGGGGAAATGGGTGAGTTAACAGTGTTCAAGTCCAGCAAAACAACCAAGGACAGCAAAGTACCATTTGTAGCCCATCAAGCTGGCCAAGATACACACGCAAGCACGCGAGCGCACACGCGCACGCGTGCACACACACACACACACGTTACAGTGAGCAGGAGACTGTGCAGGGGAAATGGGCATACACTTTTTACTAGCTGCGCTGGCTGGCACAAGTGCAACTCGGCACAATGCTTATGAAGGGGGGCCTTTTGGCAACACACAGGAAGTCTTTAAAACGTCTATATGTGGATCCTGCAAGTCCACAGTTGGGGAGACCATCTAGGATGCTAGCAAAGATTTGGCTTGACAAGGAAGGATTCGCTCATCAGAGCACGCAGTGTTGGCTTCAAACGCAGGGAAAAGAACTAGGCACCACCTGAATGTCCAACAATGCGGGAATGATTACAGAAATGTTAAGGTCCATGGATACACTGGAGCACTCTGCAGGCACTGAAGATGACGTTTCATAAGCCTGTTGAATAACATGGAAAGAAGTTCATGGGCTGATTTTCGTTTGGTTTTAGTTGCTGAAAAAGCCGGTTAAGAAACACCACATAACATGAATCATTCTACAACAGATGTTAAAAGGGAAGGTGGGGTGGGGGTGAGGAAGACAGCGAGAGGGGGTGGGGAGAGAGCCTGGGACAACATCACAGCAAGAAGGTAAAAGTGGTTCTCTCTGGGTGGTAGGGCCAGGGGGAGCAAATACTCTCTTGGGTTTCCCTCATCTGATTTCCTTCTCCTTCAGGATAGTTTTACCATGACATTGTTACCGCCTGCGCAGTAAACAAAGCAAGAAAGAAAACGGTTTTTAAACCAGACCACAGGGAGAAGAGGCAGCCTTTAACCTATCCAATGGCACCTATTAATAAGAGTATTCACAATGTCCTTGGTGGGGTAGGGGGAAGAGGCAGGGAGGGGAGAGGAGAGAGGGAGCAAGGGTGGGGGGCATTAGGGACAGCGGGGGGGGGGGTTGGAGGGAGGGGCGAAAGAGGGGAGAAGGACAGGGTTGGAGGAGAGGGGAAGGAAAGAGAGAGACCTGCACTCCCAATACAATACACTGCTGGTGGGTTGGGGTGGGGGGGTGGGGGGGTTGTAAACCGGGTGGGAGCCAAGATTTGGCTCTGCTGGCTGGATGCTCCTGGATGTGTTTATCGCAAGGTGGCCTCCTCATCGGTGTCTTCCTCGAAATCCTTGACGTCAGCACTGGTGGACTGCCTGGCCCAGGCTCCCCTTTCGGCCTCTCGCTCTTTGTGGGACTTGAATCTGCCGACGAAAATTTTGCGGTAGTTAAGGAACATGCCATTCATTGCATCTATGGCCCTTTCGGCCGACTCCTGCTTCTGGAAGTGCACGAACCCATAGCCCTTGGGCCCCTTTTCGTCGCAGGCCACTTTGCAGGAGAGGATGTTGCCGAAGGCTGAGAAGATGTTGTACAACGCCTTGTTGTCAATGGTCTTGCCCAGGTTCTTGATGAAGACGTTGCCCACCCCGCTCTTGCGGAGCGAGGGGTCCCTCTGGGACCACATGATGCGCACCGGCCTGCCCTTTATGACATCGAAATTCAGGGTCTCCAGGGCCCGCTTGGCGTCCACCGGTTGCTGGTAGTTGACATACGCGTAGCCCAAAGAGCGGCGGGTGATCTTGTCCCTGCAGATGCGGATGGAGAGAATGGGCCCGGCTGGGCTGAACTTCTCGTAGAGCATTGCCTCGGTCACTTCGGGGTGCAGATCGCCCACGTACAGCGAGGCCATGGGAAAGTCTGGGTTCCCCTCCGAGCCCCCGCCCGTCTCCGCATCTGCATCCGCGGCAGCGGCGGCCGCCGCCGCCGCCGCCGCCGCCGCCGCCGCTACGGCCGCCGCTACCTCCTCGTCCGCATCTGCGTCCGCATCCGCATCCGCATCCGCATCCGGATCCGCATTCGCCTCCCCCAAGGGGGGCGCCGCAGCCTCTGCTGCTGCGGCGGCGGCGGCGGCTTCTGCCGAGCTGGCCGCCGCCGCCGCCGCCGCCGCCACCCGGGCGGCCTCCGCCTCCTCCCCTGCCAGGGCGGCCGCCGCCTCCCCCAGGGTGGCCGCCGCCTCCTCTACCGAGGCCTCGGCCTCCACCTCAGCCTCCACCTCGGCTTCCGCCTCCGCCACGGAGGCCTCCGCCACCGCTTCTGCCACGGTCGCCGCCGCAGCCTCCGCCGCCGCCGCCGCCGCTGCCGCCGCCGCCGCCGCCACTGTCGCCGCTGTCGCCACGATCGCCGCTGCCGCCGGGCCGCTGCCGCGACCTCCCTTCCCGCGAGCTGGGGGGCGGAGAGGCGGGGGAGGGCACGAGGGCCGGGGGCTGCCGGGGCCCGGGCCGGGGGCGCGAGCGGCAGCTGGGGCCCCGAGCCGGCCGAACTGACGAGTCCAAGTCACCTGGGATGGCAAGCGCGGCCAGGAGCGCGCCGGTGCAGTCGCCGCAGCCCGCAGCCCCGCAGCCTGCTGCTGGTGCCGCCGCCGCTTGGTCGTGGGCTGGCGTGCGGGGCGCGGGCGGGCGCGTGTGGTGGGGGGCGGGGGGTGTTGGCGTCTGTGGTCCGGGCAGCTGGGAAGGCTTCTGTCTCTTTGGTTCCCCCTGTGGCTGCTGCGGGGCTGCGGGGCTGCGGGGCCGCGGGCGGTGGGAGGGGGCGGGAGCCGGGAACCCGGAACGCGAGGCTGCGGGTAGGGGTGAAGTGGGGGTGGCGGTGAGGACGTGCTCAGCTTCCCGGGTCTCCGGCACATCTATGGAGAGACGCCGCGCGGGGCGGGGGGGGGGGGGGGGGCGCTGCCGTGGACGCAGCGAATACAGGGTCCACTCGGGCCGGGTGGGGGGACGATTTTGTCCCCCGCGTCCCCATAATGGAACATCTCAATGATTCCATCAAGTGCCTTGCAAGGGAGGGGTAGAGCGGCCTTGAGGATAAGCTTGCCAGGCCTAGACAAAGCCAAGAATCATAGTTTGCGCACTTTGAGGGGTTCCCCACAAGAAGCGCGCACAGTCTCCAACATCTACACTGCCACCACCCAGGAAGGAACTCCCAGTCTGAGGCTCCCAATCTCCCCACCCATTTCCTGAGAGAGAGAGAGAGAGAGAGAGAGAGAGAGCGCGAGCGAGCGCACTCTCGCCCTTTCCCAGCTCTGTCCCTCCTCCGCGACACAAGGGAACCAGAATCAGGAACCTGTATTCATTCATAAGGCCCCGCCACAGATATTTATGCAGCAGGTGCCGGTTCCTGGAGATACAGGTTTCTGGGAGCTGGGAGGACCTAGACTGGTTTCGAGTGTCTCCCTGGCAGCAATCTGGACTGGAAACCCTGCTCCAGGCTGTGAAAGAACCACACACCTGACCTTCCTCTGCACCCTCAGAACACACTGCCAGGAGGTGCTAGAGTAAGATCAGCTGCCCCTAGTGCTGCCTTGAATGGTAGGGTGAGGAAAGCCAAACCGAGGGCTGGGAACAGACCCTGGCCTGGAGCCAAGTACCAGCTTATTCCTGGCTCTGCCCTCAATGCCCTCAAGGTGCTGAGGTTCCCCAACCTGGACCAAGCATCCCATGATCATCTTCCAAAAAAAAAAAAAAAAAGCAAAGCCAAGCCTGAAATTTAGCTTGTGGAATGAGCTGTCCAATCCCAGTAGCCCAGCCCAGTGAATGTTTAGGGAAGGCGCTAAGGGACAGGTAATGGGATAAGTGAGTGATGTGCTGGATGTGTGACACCAGATGAGAAGACTTAGCAGTGTGGGTGTGTGTGTGAAAGGAGCGGAGGGATCACATAGGAATAAATGCTGAAGGGGCAGTCACATGAGCGACCATCAGAGTGGAGTGTAACAGATGAGGCTAGAGTCTCACCTCCTCCCGACAAGAGGACCAGCACTAACTCTTCCAAGTAGGAATACAACAAGGCTCTGCTGAAGATGAAATCCTCCAAGGTAGGCGCTGGAAGATGAGGAGCAGTCCACCACGTATGTCAAGGCCAGGGGGGAAGGGACTCGAGGCAGAGGGATCAGCCTGTGCCCGAGTCCCTGGGCATGGTAGCACGTGCATAGTCACTTCTGGTGATGCCTTCTAAGCTGGCGTGGACAGCCCTCCCCGCGGTCCACAGACACCTGGTAGAAGATAGGGCTGGAAAGTGGGGGACCCAACATCACAGGCACCACTCGGCATGTTCATGGAGGGAAGCGGTCCGATTAGAACATTAGAAAGCACAAATATGTCATCAATATGCAGCCATGTGGCTCACCAGCTTGCAGTTTAGGACAAAGAATGGAAAGTCACACGTGACCAGCTCAAAGACTCTTCCCTTCCCTTTTCTGAGTACCCCCTTTTGTTCCCTAAGTAGGAGGAAAAGAGGGTTTCCACATTGTATGCCAATGGGATCATGTACAGAAACCATGGCCAAAGCATGGTACTCCCCCCGACCCCCACCCCCAGGATGCCTTCACTCCACTCCAGCTCAGGCTATACCTACCCATAACAGAAATGCCAGCAGAGGGCCTTCAGTGCTACATGATTGGACTATGGTGGGTGTCCATGGAATTCTACCTTCCTACTGCATAAACTTTCCCCTCCCACTCAAAAGCACCTTTGTGGGTGAATAAAATTGTTTTCCCTGGTGGCAATGTTGGCTGCACCTGGGAAGTCACAGATGATAGAATGACAGTGAAGCTGAGGAAGTGACAGTCGTTGTGGACTGTGAGGCACAGAGAAGAGCCCATTGCTGCCTGGAAATCATGCCATGAGGGCTGAGAAGCAGACACACAGACAGTGCCTCGCCAGCTTCCGGAGTCCTGCTCTGTGCCAACAAATCACGGGACAGAAACCTAGGAAAAGCCTGCAGTCCAGCCTGTGCCTGACCATGGTGATCACTGTCACCACTGTTAGTAGCCATCTCCTGGGGATCTAGGTGGCTTACAGGCAGGGGAAAGAAGGCTAGGCTTCACTCTTCCATGTGGCTGTCCAAGAGGTTCCAGGTGAGGCAGAGGCCAAAGGAGAAGCCGTGACTGCTGAGGTCAAGGAGATTTGGCAATGTTCTGGTTAGGAGACAGAAATGACAAGGAAGGCCAGTGGGAAACACTGGCCCAACGCAGGACAAGGACTCAACAAGATTGCCTCTGGCTTTGGTTTCCAGCCCAGAGAGCCGGCAGAAATCTGTGCAAATCCCAGAGAAAGAGGCTGCAGGATGTCGTGCTTTGGCCAGCTTATCCCCAAACCTGAAGACAACCCCCAGGAACCTGCACCTCCAACAATGGCAACGGGACTGCCCAAGTGACAAGGGACTGCTCTCGGTGACCTCCCGTGGGGTCCACGCTGGGCGTCCTCACCTCCTTTTGCTGTTTTTGTTGTTGTTAGTGGTCCTTCAGTTGCTGTCATCTACAACAGACAGTGTTCCGAGCACCACCCATGGTGACAGAGGCAAAAATTAAGAGCCCCGGGGAGTGTCCGTTGAGGGGAGATGAGAGGTGTCCTTTTCTCGTGGCATGAAGTGCTATTATTTGCATTCACTCAAGGATGGACCAAGTATTCAGGGAGGGCTTTCTATGTACCGTGGACTCTGGTGGCCACAGTGTCCCTGCAGCTCAGCTTGCTTTCCAATGGGGAGGCAGACAATAGACACGTCAGAAAAACCAGCTGCCATTCACGCTCTCAGGGGAGTCAGCAGGATGTTTTGGGACATATTGCCAAGAGCCACAGTGGAGTGGCAAAGCAGGAGATGCAACCTCCGTCTTAGGCGTCAGACCTAAGAAAAGAACCAGGGGAACCCTGCCCAGCAGAGGAACTGCAATTCCCCAGTGGAAGGCAAGACGGGATGCTGGGATCAGGGTGCTCTTGAGAACCAGAGAGAAGATTGAATGAGTGAGGGGGTACAGTCTGACTTATATTCAACTAGTTCTCTGGCTGCTCTGTGTGGAAAATATTACAGGTGGGCAGAGCACAAAGGAAAGCAGGGAGAGCAGCGAGGTGGCTCTCGGGGTAGCCCAGTGGAGAGATGGCAGTGGCTTATCCCAGACTGGAAGGATGCTCCAAATTGGAAAACACTATATAGATTCACACGGTGTTTTGGAACTAAGAGACAGCACTTGCAGACTGATTAAAGGCAGTCAGTGAATGAACCTGAGAAATGATCGGTGCAAGAGGGTTTCCTTGCACGTCTTCGTCACAAAGGTGCTATGTGCAATCATAGGGCAATAAGGTGAGTGGATGAGGGAAGTTTGCAGAAGGGAGAAAGATGGTTGAATGAGCCGGGAACTCTTATTGGCATGTGGTACATTTCCGGTGTCTCCTGATCATCCAAAGAGGATGGAGAAAACCATGGCGACTACAGGATACAGATGGGGTTTATGACACCTTGAGCCTGAGTAGGACCACCTAGAGCAAGGTAGCCAGGAGAACGTGCAGGGCTATTCCCTGAGATACTCCAACATTCAACAGTCGGGCTGAGGAGGACAAACCACCCAAAGAGATCGAGAAGGAATGTCAGTGAGCGGGCTCTCTCTCTCCACTGCCTCGCGTGCCTAAAGCTGCCTTGTCTCCCTGCCTTTCCTTCTCCCGACAGTCTCATGGGTCCAAATTTGCGCTTTCTCCACTGCCCCACAAGCTAAAACTTGGCTTCTCCCCAAGGCCTTTTACTCCAAACCTCCCTTCTCTCCACGGCCTTGGTTTGCAGACCTGTTTTCCTTGCGTATCCACACTTGCCTTCTCTCCAGGGGCTTTTACCTCCAGCCTCAGTGCCATCACTCAGGTCCTGCTCTAGCTGCTGGTGCCTGAGACTTGGGTAACCACGAGACCGCAATGACCCTGTCTGCCAGGTCTTGGACTACTCTTTTTCTCGTTTCTCAGAGGATGTTTAAAATGAGAGAGCTTCTCAGGCAGACGTTTAACATAGTGGGTAAGAAGCTGGTTAGGATGCTGGCATCCCCCATCCAAGTGCCTGGGTCTGATTTCCTGGCTCCAGCTCCTGACTCAAGC